CCTTGTGGACCATGTATGTGAGCTTCTGCCCTATTTGTGTACATTTAATTGTTGGATCATTGTATCTATCAAATTTAACTTTTTTTGTCTGTAGGATGGAGGCAAATACATGCAAGGACAAAAACATTGCAATAGGCTTCTTCAACTCGGTGACCTTTAACTCCTGCACAGTGGGCTTCACAACGATGACAGACACTACGTGCGCCTCCATTCTGGCCCCAGATGATAAATCACTAATTCTCCTGCCATACAACGATGGGTAAGCGAGTAATTCATTTACGTAATTACGTGTACCAGGTGGGACTCTAATCTGCATCTGATTTTCTTTATTGCAGCGAACATACTTGCCTTGTTGCTGTAGACCATCTCAATTCCAAGCTCTTCGTGTATGATATAAGCAGGAGGGGAATGAACCATATCAAACCCTTCAAAAAAATGATGAATAAGTACAGCTCTTGTTCCATGCATTTTACAACGTGGTTTCGTAGATCTCATTATTTATGTGTAACAAATTTTTTGTTTGTCACAATGATCTTTCTGTTGGATGATGACAGGGCTTATGACAAGTACAAAAAGAAGACCAAATTCAATGTTCTTTCCTGGAATGATGGGTTCAAAGTAATGGAGGTCGATACGATCGCAAAGCAACATCCTGGTGGCAGAGATTTTAGTGCGTTCTATGTAATGCATTACATGGATGGGATCATCAAAGCTACGAAACACAAACAAGTTCTTATTATACCAGCACACAAATCTCTACTGATTAAATTGAACAATGTGCTCCATGTTACATTACTACAACGCTGCCTTCTTGTAGTCTGTGCTGCTGTTGGATACAAGGGAGCTAACCACTCAAGACATGTTTGCTCTCCAAGAACGCCTGGCTACTTTTATCCTCGATGAGGCCATACATGGAGACCATGCGGTGTGTTAATTATCAACAACAGTTTAAATCCTACATCTCTGTATCCTACCTACTACTGTCAGCTTATCGTCTATTGTCAAAAGTACTCTTGTATGTGAACGTATTGTATGGATTTGACAAATATATCTGCATGCCGTGTCATATAGCTATTATGGTTCATCTTAATTAATAATTATTGTCAATACCGGATACAGTATCATTCCGTAATGGTCTCCGTTTTGTATTGAACCGCCATTCTTGTGTTGTTAACACCACCGCATCATACGACTATGCAACTGTGATGAAAGCCTCATCACTGTCGCACTGTACCATTACCCGATGGCAGAAGCCATCAGCAACAACGCCGGTCCAACCTATGATGCGGCAGGATCACAAAATCATCACTGTCGTCTCGATTAGTAAACCGACACCGAGTACATCCTCATCAAGGTCGAATCATACTACAAGGTGATGGTGGTAATGCCATTCACACAGCCGGGTAATACATCAGAGCGGTGGTGATGATGTCCTCCACATAGGTGGGTCGTGGTACAATGCAACAGAAACAACGACCCGATCACAGATGGATCATAAGCCAACACAGCGGTGTGAGTGTACACCCACACAGACGGGTCGTGCTCCGATGCAACGGAAACAAGGACCTGATCATGGATGGATCATAAGCTAATACGGCGGTGTTAGTGTATACCCACACTACCATGTCGTGCTCCAATACGATGGAAGTAAGGACCTTATCACGGATGGATCATAAGCCAATACAACGGTGTGAGTGTACACCACAGATGGTCTCAGATAGCGATGGTGAAGGCTATAACCATCACTGCCGATAGCTTACTACCGAGGCTGAAATTAGACTGCGATGTGGGTTACGACACGGCTGCAAAAGGTGCGAGTGTAGTAGTGTACTTGTCTAAAATCATTTACACATGGTAAAATTGCTTGGGCAAGCATCATAAATCCAAAAGAGCTTAATTTCCCTATCTTTACAGAGTTGTCATCAATTACCAAAAAAATGGGAGATTGATAGGTCCTTGTTTTGTTTTGGTAATTGAGAGACAACCTTAGGTGGACTAATATGTGTGAGTGAGATACACAGATGATTAGTCCATAGGTACATCATGTGTGAGCAACCTTTGCCATGGAGATGAAATGGCTTGGAGATGTTCCAAAGCTCACACATGTGATGAAGGAGCTCATTGCATATGAGACATGACATGGAGTCATGTGATCAAGGTGGAGAAGATCAAGACAAGACTTGGCTCTACGGACCAGTTGCAAGTGTGAAGGGCAAGTTGAGTGATGACTTGGCGCCAATGGACCGAGGCAATGGTGAAGAGCAAGTGAAGTCAAGATCGATGAACTAATACGATCACATGATGATATAAAGTGGATCATATCATTTGGTGATTGGTTGGTGCATGTGTTGCATCGACATCAAAAGAGATGGAATGGAATGCATAAGGCAAAGGTATAACCTAGGGCATTTCATTTCACCGGTCAAAGGTTGTGTAGAGAAGTGCATGACTGAGTTTAGGATAGATGGCCGTACTATCAAGAGCAGCAAACTTGTTTGCATATCAGTCATCAGTGCCACTTGAGCGATCTAACTTTGCATACGTGTGAGGATCGAGTGGCGTGGTGAATTGAGTGATTAACCCTTAAAATGTTTGTGGAAAGCTAACACATGTGCATAATGTGTTGTACACTTGGTGGTGTTAGCACATTTGCAAAGGAGAAGAAGTTGGAGTTGATGTGGATCAACTCGGTGAAGAAACGGAGACGAAAAAGAGGTCACTATGAGTGACCGAACTTTAGCTCTGGGGTGACCGGACTCACCCTGGGAGCATCCAGTCATCATGCGTAGAGAAGGGCACGACTCGGTTCAATGAGCGGACGCTGAGAAGAAGAAGGTGACCGGACGCTGGTGGGTTACTGTTCCCGCGTCCGATCTCGCTGACGTGGCAGCTCATAAAGTGGTCAACTGAGGAAGTGGAGGACCGAACTCTACCATGCATCCTCGTCACACAATTTTGTATTTACTTTTCATACATTATGCTTGTGTAGTTGCTCTTGTAATTAATTTGCTTGTGTAGCTTGCTAGTTACCTTCTTGCTTGTGTAGCATAGAAGTAGCTCCTTTATGTGGCTAATTTGGTTTGAGTAACCTTGTTAGTCACATTGTTTAGTTTGTGTAGCTAAGTATTTTACGCTCTTCAATTTGGCATTAGTTGCCTTATTATTGAACATTGCTAGTGAACTTAGGAGCTTTGTGCTTTTGCTTACTAGATTGTGTAGGAGATCTCTCGTTTGTGCAAAGTACTAGTTGCATTGGTTTATGTGACCTTGCAAGCTAGATTGGTTAGGTGAGCTCTAGCTAGCTCGGGACCTTTGTTGCCTAATTAGGATCTTTTTAAGGTGCTTGAGAACTTAGATAGAGGGGTGTAGTCTTGTCTAGACCGATAGTTTTAATTCCGCATTTGTTTCGGTTAGCCGGCGCGATTAATTTTAGAAAGGACTATTCACCCCCTAATCCGCTATCTCGACCCTATAGCGAGGCCTGCTAGAGCAGGCGGACTCCTCCCGACGCAGACTTGTCCCAATGAGAGCCCTTGTGGCGGATTCCTTCGGCACTCCCTGGACTGCTCCCCGATGAGGCCTACGAGGGCGGGCTCCTTCTCCCAATGCGGACTCCTCTGGCACTCCCTGGACTGCTCCCCAAAGAGGCTTGCGGGGGTGGGCTCCTCCTCCCAATGCGGACTCGTCCCCACCGCTGTTAGTGTCTATTAAAAAGGTCCTGTGTGTCCCATGTATCCTGCGCTAGACGAGCACTGAGGATTGAAAGAACAAAGAATGACGGGTGGGTCCTGCGTGTCGGTGTCGATTAAAAAGGATCCTCAAAAATGAGAGGGAGCCCTCAAATTAAAAGTAGGGACCCTGATTTAGAGGCCCTTGTTAGAGTTGCTCTTGGTGTCTCTTGGGTTGGAGAAATATTAGCTCTCATACATGAAACATCACTCTGTTCTAAATTGTAAGTTGCTTTAACTTTTTTTATACATTAATTTTACTACGTATAAAGATATAATGTAGGTCTAGATATCTACTAAAGTCTATGTATAAAAAAAAGATAAAGTGACTTATAATTTAGAACGCATTGAGTAACTTTTTTTTAGTGTGACTACTATGTTCTGTACATATATTACTGTTGCTCTAAGAAGACGGTGGAAAAATGGACGAAGAGCCCTGTGAAGAATAATGTAGAGAATGGAAAAAACAATTGGTAAGATTTGGAAGCCCTGCCTTCCTACCGGAACTCGACTTAATCAAATGGAAATGAGAAATTGTCTTCTCCCAAAATCAATCGAATAGTTGTTTAATCATTTAATGGTGTGGAAAAACATTCTTTTCATACTTCTGCATCTCCCAACATGCGAGAAAATAGGGATGGGATAATACGATCCTCTCTGCTCTCAAACCATATGTATCTAGGGGGTGTTTAGTTACCCTAAATTACAAACTTTGGCACTATGCAAAAAGAAGATTTTCCGTCACATCAAATTTGCGGTACATGCATGGAGTACTAAATGTTGACGAAATCAAAAACTAATTGCATAGTTTGGTTGTACTTTGCGAGACAAACGTTTTGAGCATAATTAATCAACGTTTGGACAATTAGGCAATGTATTAAGTGCAAATAAACATTTTGAGAAGCATAATTACGGGGGGGGGGGTGGGAACGTTTGGATAATGCAAATACCTTCCCAAATACAGAAGACGAACGACAATTATTACTAAATACAAACGAACGCTACAGTAGCTACTGTGGCTACAGCAACTTTGCCGGCGCCGGATTCGGGCCGAACTAAACGAGGGCCTAACAAGGGTCGGCAGAATTCAAAATTTCAATTTCGGAGCCCTTCTAGGTTCTGCCGTCTGTGTGCACCTGAATCGGGTCCACAAATAGAAGAACGAAACCCAAGAACGAACCCCTCTCCAAGCCCCACATTCTTTTTTTTTCTCTACACCGCCGCCTCATCTGCTCTGCTCCCCGAAGCTGCTCAAAGAAATCGAAGTGGGGAATGGCGGAGGCGGTGGCGTACGAGGAGCAGCGGCGGAGGCAGATAGAGGCGAACAAGCGGAAGCTGGAGGAGCTGCAGCTCCACCACCTCTCCGCCGCCGTCAGAGAGGCCACCGCCGCTGCCAAACCCTCGTCGGTGTGTCCCGTTTTCTTGACCGATAGCTATGATGGCCGCCGCCGGGCTGTTTCTTGTGTCGCTCGATGCCTTCTTTTCTGTCATTCTCTGGGTATACTTTATCCAAATCGGCTTTTTCTGCAGGCCAAGAAGCGGAAGGCACGGGTGCCGCGGGACGCCGACGAGGAGCCGCTACGACGGTCCGGCCGACTCGCCAACCTCCCTGAGAAGCCCATGTACCGCGAGGTCAAAGTGAACTCGCCATTTCTGCAGGTCAGCAAGTCGAATGCGCGGGTGACGCGGGAGCCGCTACGGTGGTCCGGCCGACTCGCCAACCTCCCCGAGAAGCCCATGTACCGCGAGGTCAGTATGAAAGGGTCATAGTCTCATAGAAATTAGGATTCATCTTTTCTCCTTACTTCGTAGAACAAATCGCGGTTTTGAAATCAATGTGATCCAGGATTCGGACGAGGAGAGGAGTTACGCCATCTTTAAGGCTGAGGAGCTGGTGCAAGAGCTGGGCTCCAGCTTCCCCATCTTCACCCAGCCCATGTCACTGTCTCATGTCACCGGAGACTTCAGGCTGGTAAAGTAGAGGAAGCTTCGGTTCGGCACGCCCTGCTGTTTTCGATTATTAGTTCATCCCCCATCGAGGTGAATTCTTGTTTGGTGGGCTTGTGAAATCACAGGGCCTCCCGACATATTTCTGCCAGAAGCACCTGCCGAAGAGTGATGAGATGATCACCCTGGTGGATGAGGAGGATGACGAATCAGCCACGCTCTACCTCGCAAAAAAGGCTGGCCTCAGCACTGGATGGAAAGGGTTCGCCATCGAGCACAAGCTGCTTGATGGAGATTGCTTGGTCTTCCAACTGATTGAGCGGACAAAGTTCAAGGTGATTGAGATCTATTTTGCATAGCAAGAACGTGTCTGAATCATCAGTGGAACTTGCATGGTGGCTGAGTGTTGCAGGGAACTGAATAACAATAACTGAAATTTACGGAATCAAAGATTCTTTAGAAAGAAATAAAAATCTGTCTTGTCTCAAACTTGGCCTTTGTACAAATTTATTTCAATTGTTTCCAGTTATCAGATTCAGATGTTATCATGACCTCTTATCTATCATGTTGTTCCAGTACCATCTGTTTTCTTAAGGACTAACTAGGAGAAATCTATGATTGTAATAATGCTGACCAAGCAATTTCTCTTGTGCAAGTGGTGCAGGTCTACATAATTCGAGCAACTTCATACTTTGAAAGTGAGCATTGATGGAACTAGTAGCTTCTAATATGGTGATTGGAGCACAGGTAAAATTGTCCTTCATTGTTTGAAATGGTTGAATCAGAGTTTCATACTTCTGTTTTTTTTCCCCGGTAAATTCTCCCATTTGCACATTGGGTTTGAACTTTCAACTTTTGATCAACAAACTTCAATGTTTATAATCTCACTTCCATTAATTATGAAAATACAAGGACCTATGCTGCTTTAGTGAGGTTATCTTGATCTCAGACACAGATCCTGTGCAGTCGCTACTGCTACTGCAAGATAAGCAGTCATTGCACCTGAACCATCCATACAAGAAGGAACGGCTTGGATGAAAGCTCTTCTTTTTTCCTGTTTTTTTGTATCATTTTGCATTCACCCTCTACTGTCAGCCAGTTCTTCTTGAGTCAAAGAGCAGCAATAAAAAAAACATAAATATTACAATAATGCAATTAACACTTGGTAGCCTACAGTAATATCATATATATTACTCTAGACTAGAGGTTAATGTCCTCTAATTACATTTGCAAAAGAGGGAGCATCTGCTGAACACAAAAGAGCATATGGGTAAACTAAGATCCTTTTGCTTATACCAAGGTTCTGCACTTATTCTCCTATTTTCATGTACAAAAGCTTGCATCACACATCAGCAGACTTGATCTTGCCTCCAAAATGCAGCCTGTGACCATAAATATTTTATAGTTGAGGATTTCTCAATTTAATGCAACATGTATATTTAACCTATACTTACATGTCAAGTTTTCTAAAAGTGCCAGCCATCTATCCCTTCGAAGGAGTGAGGATCTGTGAGAATAACACTTGAATTCTAAAAGGAGAGAGAATCATAGAGAAAAATACCATGGTCAAATTAAATATAAGGATGCTATTTTTATGTACAGAAAAGATGTGCCCGCATACCATAAGAACTTGGTTAAAACTGCTAATTGATTCATATGCTTGCGATTCTAGCATAATATTTCCACTTTCTTCATGTTGAATAGGCTTGCTTATTTTCTTCTTGTTCCCTTTCTTCTTTTTCTTCTGAAGTTTCTCGACCCAAGTTTTCTTTCGTTTTGATCCACCCTTCTGCCTTTATTTCTTCTTCGAACCAGCGACATTTGCAAACTCTTCAGGTAAACTGAATGGTGCTTGAGCACTAGGCTGTTCAACATCAATATGAGTTCCTCTGATTTTTTCTTCCACTTCCTTACTCAAATTATGAACTGCATTTTCCACAAGCAAGCAACAGTCTTCAGAATCAGCAGCTCTTGAAGCCACAGGAAGGAATATTTTGCAAAGGTTTTTGTACTGAAGTGCAGCGTCTAACTTAGGATTTTCCACTATATCCCCCCCTCCCCCATGCATTGTTATGGACTCCTTCCTAGGACGCAACTATAGGTGCCGGACCAGGAGTTCCCCAACTAGTGACTAGAATGCCGAGCTACTTTTAGAAGCATGCAGTGGCTAGGAGTGCTTAGTTATTTTTAGACAGCATGCAGATCGTCTTAGAGAGTGCTCATGTTCTATAAGGGCACTGAGTGGATGTAATAAGAGATCATCGAAGAAGAATAGAATCCTCCCAAGTGGGTGGGGTTCCTCTTCGACGGCGGCTGCGCGCGGTTCAGCCGCTGCCGCCGGCGACTCCCCCACTGCGCCATTGCCTCGCTACCCTCTCTGTTCCAATTCTCAATCACAGCTCCTGCTCCACTCTCCCCAGCGTACTCCTCATCACCCACGCCATATCATGCATATCTTCAATAATCCCTTTCTTGCATCTCGTGTCCATCAATTCAAAATGTATCTTTAAGGTAACAACTTAATGTTCACCAAATTGAGACCTTTTAGTGCATGCCTACATAATATACCAATTCTCTATAATAGCCTACAACTACAAGAGACCATCTGATCGGTCGGGTTGGCCAACCATTGATGTGCCTCCAAGAGCTCCAATTGCAATGACAAATTCATTAATTCCATCTGAACCTACTGTGTAGACTGCCAGGTGCTTTTCATAATCAGTTAGGAAGACTTCAAATATTGCAGGTGTATAAACTTTACTTGCTTGTATTAATATAGGTGCATTCATCCCAATTCTTGGTTCTTTCTTCCTAGATTCAAATTCAGATTGTACCTCCTCTCTCTTGATTTGAACAACAGCCTCCACACGCTTTAGGAATCTAATGATATCAAGATCTGATTTCAAATGGCCTTTTAATGCATTATTCAAACTCTCACTAAGTTGTGTACTTCGCATTCCTAGTGAAAAAACATCCAGCATGTAGCACTCAGCCCACTTCTCTTTCAACCTGTAAATGCTGTCCAACTAAGTTGATTTACTAACTTCGCTTCTCATAGCATCAAATGCTTCTTCAAAAACAACCTTTTTTTCATACTCATACTTGCAAGAACTAAAATCTGATAGGATACTTGGGACTTCCTCATTATTAGATTCTTCTTTGTTCTGAGACTCTTCTTCATTAGAACACAGGTGTTTCAATGCATTTTGTGATATATGCCGAGTACACAAACCATGCCATGTACTAGTGAACACCTCAGATACAGCCTTTCCCATAGCAATATCCTGATCTGTGAAAATTGTTTTTGTCTGCTTCTGGTTATGTGTTGACAAAAATGCATTGAATAACCACTTAAATGACCAAATGTCTCATCATACATCAAAGCTACACCAAAAACCAGTCTCTCTAAACTGGTTGAAACCTACAAACATACCAAATGGTCTATATTCTTTGTTGGTTCCAAAGGTAGTGTCAGATGTGATAACATCGACAATCATCTTTGCATCAGCCCAAAATATATTAGCTATCTTCTCATCACAATCCATTTGTATTGCATACTGAAATGAGGGATTTTCCACCACTTTATCTTGAAAATATTTTAATAAACTTCCAACCTCACTATACAACATCTCTCTTCGGCGTTTAGTTCGCAAATAATTTTTATGATCACGATGGGTGTATCCAAGGTTAGATGATCCACCAACATATCGACCAAGAACTCATGTGCTGCTTTAGGTGTAATACCGGAATCATCAACCACCTCAATATCAATAGCTTGATGCTTAGAAATGTTCCTCTGTGATGGCATCAAATGACTTGTTTGTGCAGTTTGAAGAATGTGGTTATGCTCAACAAATAAGTCATGTATTGTGTAAGTCCCATTTTCTCTGTCCAAAGTAATGCCCATGTGAACTCTGCATCCTGTTCTTGTTTGAGCTCGATTACGCTTGACAATACAAAACCTTTTATTCTCAGCCCGAGAACCTTCATTTGAACAAACAAATCTACTAGATGTTACTAATCCATCAAGACCACTCATATTCGTGTAACACTTTCGAACATCAAAACCCATCCGAACACCATATGTCACCCAGAAGTCCCAAGCTTCATCAAACCCACCAAATGTCATACCAATTTTAGGAATCCAAAAGGAAGTTGCATCCACTCTGCAATTGATAATATTGTGTCAATTTTTTAGCCAAACTACTACAAACAGAACAAGGGAAAAGAGGGCATGTCCAGGACTGTACATGAGCATGTTCAGAAAAAATGGTCTCAACTATTACAAAATAGATCAAGGACCACAATGTAACAAGAACACAGACAAAATGAGAAAAGGTATAGAGCACAAACCTTGTAGGCAATTCATCGGGCAGTGGATGGGTGTTGTCCCTGACGTCATTGCCAGCAACTACTGGGGTGCTTGTCAGCGTGCTCTGTGCTGCAGGAAATCGCACAGGGGCACTGGGGAGCTGCATAGAGCTGGCCGACTTCGCCACGGGCGCCTTGCTTGGCGCCGGCGTTAGCACCACATCGCCCCCGCTAACAGATGGGGTTGCACGCAGGGGCAGTAGCAGCACCTTCATGAGTGGTGGGAAGAGGTGCTGGAGGAGTGAGTTCCATGGCGCGGCAGCCCGCCGGGCGGCGGCGTCCCGTCGCTTTGCTCTTCCCAGCAAGAAAATGACACCAAACTCTTCTCCCCTCCTGCCATTTCCCTCCAAAAGAGCTACTAATAGAATAAAGTAAGAAGAAAAGGAAGTCTTCATCCAAGCCATCCCTTCTTGTATGGATGGTTCAGGTGCAATGACTGCTTATCTTGCAGTAGCAGTATCGACTGCACAGGATCTGTGTCCATCTCCTAGATCTCACATTGCAAAGCCAATATATTTTGGGTGGATGGCTTCCTTTTGTCCAAGCTATTTGATCAATGTCTGATAGGCATGCAATCAATGCATGAACTGAGCAAGTACTAGATGGTCTGGTGACTCTTTCAACTGATGTAGATTTTTTTTATTGTACCATCGCCTTTTCCTTTCCTGATTCATTTCATTGGTACTTGAACTCTGCTCCACTTTTCTCTTGTAGGTTTGTAGTAGTAGTTTACAGTTTACACAATTTCATTTCTGTACTCTTTTTTTTGGTAAAATATTACTTTTTCTGTAATTTTAGCAAGACGTTTGTTTAGTATTTGTGAAAACATATTGCCTTAGCTGTTGTTGGAACGCTGATAGCTTGGCACATTGTCTTCTTATTCTTAATTTGACATGTCCACATTGAACCAAAGAGATGTTTGTTTCTAAAACTTACTGTACTTCCATTGCAAGTGACTATCCTTGTTTGACTTCTGACTGTTTTGTAG